GTTGGCTTACTGCAACCTCAGCACCCCACAAACTCCCTGCCTCAGGTTCACCCAATTCTCCTGCCTCAGCCTCCACATTAGCTGGGATTACAGGAGTGCACCACCTTGCTTGGCTAATTTTTGTATTTTTTAAGAAGAAGCACCCTGTTGGCCAGGCTGGTCTCAAATTCCTGACCTCAAATGATCCATCCACCTCAGCCTCCCAAAGTGTTGGGATGACAGCCGTGAGCCACTGCACCCAGTCTCCTTAATCTCTTTAAACTCTGAGATCCTGACAGCAAATTTTGTTTTGTTTTTACCATTTCATATGGCTTTGATTTGAGTTCACACTTTAGCAAATTCAAATGCTAGGGCAGCTGGTTCCTCTAATCTGCAATGTTACTAAGTCTAAAACTGCCAACCATATTCTTTGGAGTTTTCTGACTCCTTAGCTAAAATCATTTTCTTACAAGATCTCTCTGAAGTTGTTGATTCCAGCAGTGAAGTATTTAACACCGACACACACATTTTGTGGCATCACCAAAAACTGTTCTTCATACTCCATTGACCTCATTTTCCATTTAAAGTCAGTGCAATTAGATAAAAACCTTGAAGCTTAGACTCATGTAGAGAGATGGGGCATTAATTTGTTTTTAATTTGGAAAGCTTCTTATTGTTAATAATGGGCCATAGTCATCTTTTCATTTCTCTAAGCTGCCACTGCATTCTTTATGCTCCTCATTTGTCCTTAAAGTGGGATCTTTCTTTGTGATGGCTTTCATGTTAATTTTTATACTGTAGATTAATTTTTACGTTATATCGAATTCAACTGACTATATGCCAGATACTGTTCCAAATGATATAGATAAAGCAGTGAATAAGGCAGAGCAGTCCCTGGGGCTTGTGGAACATATAGGTCAAGGAAATTTGTTGCAAATTGTTAAATCTAAATGCAGTGATAAACCACTTGAAGCAATTCTCAAACTTGGCTACACTTTAGGATCACTTGGGGAGATTTTAAAAAATCTCTGTGTAAGGACTTCTGGTACCAGACATGATGGAATAACTTGAATTTGAGCATTCCTCTCACTGAAAATTACTTCAAAATCTAAATGAAGCACACAAAGCAAGAGCCTGAAGCCAGTGGAGAGTAACCAACCCTGATAGGACTTGAGGGGCTATGATTCCTGAGATAAGTGAAACACAGCTTCATATTCACCCTGGCTGCTGCTTCTTTTTTTTTTTTTTTTTTTTTTTTTTTTTTTTTTTTTTTTTTTTCTTAAAAGGCAAAATCCCAGGGAAGTAAGAATTGCAGGAAAGCAAACCAAAAAGTTTTGTGCAGTTTCCACTCAAAGTACTGGATGATTGCTAAGCTGGGCATGTACAGGGAAAGGTTCCAAGAAACTCAGGAAAAAAGGCAGGAGATGAAGGGTAAAATGCTAAGCAGGGGCTTCAGCTGTCACATTGTGCTGTGGAGACAGACTGGAATTTAATCCTCACTAAGATGCTGCCTAAGTGGAGAATCTCAGCATAAGATGGTTGACATAGGATGATTGATATGCTTTAGATTTATATTTTTAAAAGATTGCTGGCTCTTGCAGAAAGAATAAATTGAAGAAGATAACGCAGAAGCAGTGAGACCAGGTAGGGTGATTTAGCAGTCTACCAGTGTGGTCCAGACCACAGATGATGGAGACTTGGTCTTAGTGGTGGATATATTGCAGGGCATATCTCATAGTGCAAAAATAAAATCTAAGGTAAGAAAATGCCAGACACTACAGGACTTGCTGATAGATCAATGGAAAGTGGGGTTGAAAGAAGAAGATTTCTTATTTAACTAAGGTATTCTCATTCAGGAACAATTTTGTCTCCCAAGAGACACATGACAAAATCTGGAGACTTGTTGGTAAATACCCTAAAATGCACTGGACAGCACTGACAACAAAGAATTATGTGGTGCAATGTGTCGATTGTGCTGTTGTAAAATCCTGGCTTAACCTCTTAAAAAGGTATGACTGATCTCCACAACATAGTTCTTTTCCAATGGATATCTGTGTTTTCAATTAAACTGTAAAATTCTTGGAAGTAGAGACCGTATCTTTGACTTTTATCTTCACCTGCAGGTGAAGATAAGAAAATTTTTTTTAATTAATAGATTTTATTTTTAAAAGAAGTTTTAGGTTTATAGAAAATTGAGTGGAAAGTACAGAGTGCCCATAAATTCCCTCTTGTCTCCCCATAGAGATTTTCCTATTATTAGTATCTTACATTAGTTATGCATTTATTACAATTGATGACTAGTATTAAAACATTTTTGTTAACTGAAGTCCATAGTTCACTTACATTTTATAAAAATAGTACCTACTGATAAATAATTACTAATTTAATAATTCATCAAGGAACATGACGATAACAAGAGAGGAAGAAGGTAACTGCCGATGATTGCACATCTATTGTGTTCGAAGCACTATGCAATCAATTCATATGTAAATATATGTATATGTGATATTATTTTATATGGGACAATATCAATACCTGTGAGTTGGGTATTAAAATCTCAATCTTAAAGATGAAAAACATTAGGCTCAGAAATTTCAAGTTATTTGCACAAAGTCACAAAACTTTGCAAATGGAGAAGTTTAAATGCAATGTCAGGGTCCATATTCATGTAGTTACACCGAATACTCTTTCCTTTTCTTCTCATATGAGAAATGGTATGGCTTAGTTTTTCCTGTTTAAAATGCCTTTACCTGCTGCTGGTGCATAGTCTTTTCCAGCCTTGCCTCTCAGCTCCACCACTGGAGGTCCATGTGGTTTCGGGTCGTGCCAAATGGCTGCCCCACCCTTGATACTTTTAAGCCAGGCTAACACACCCACACAAACCCATACAATCAAGCTGCAAATGTTAACAGATGTTCAAGCCTCTCAGCTCCTGCTCTCACCTCCCTTTTCATTCTCGCCTGATTGTGCTTGCTCTCACCATTCTAGCTCTGAACTCTTGGTGCTCTGTTCCTGCCCCACACCCCAGATTTGGACTCTACTGATACTTCCTTAGAGACTTTTTCATCTGAGTTCCCCTGCATGTTTCTTGGCTTAGTTCAAATCTTCCACCTTGATATTTCTCGTTGTCTCAGATGTGTTGGGGAAAGATACCTTTATTTCCTGAGTCCTAGGTCAGGTCTGGGGTCACAACTCAGGGTGAGATTTGACTATCGAAATGTTATGTATGTTAAGGCTGGATGGGGTTGACTTATCAAATGGAATGTGGGAGGGGGGCTGGAAGGCCTGTGCTAGACCAGAAGTAAGTAGTTCATTAACATTGTCTCTGCCCTCAGCCTTAGGAGTCTCAGGAGGATGAACTGTCATAAACAGTATGCTGGAATTTAGAAACAGCCCACACCAGAGCACCAGTGCTTGAACATATTGCCTGGATAGTTCCATATTCCCACCTACCTCTTTCACTTCTTTGCTTACATATGCATTTGTTTTCTCCAAGTTGTAAATTCCTAGGGGACCAAGTATCGTTTTCATTTCCAACCATGATTTCTTTTCCTTAAAATTCCCAGATCTGTACAAATCTTTTGAATGTCTATAAAGCACACTGTTCTCTTCTGTTTCTTTTAAGTAATATAGAAAACCCAAACTTTTGCCTCTCTCTCTGACAACATTTCACTGTAAGTGAATTCACCACCACTGTCAAAAGTGCTATTGAAAACATTACAGGAACTTGAGTATGGAGTCCCAGGGATGAACCTTGTTTGTCTTCCTTTTCCTAAGCTTTTCCCTTGTCCTTTTAGTAACATTGAAATAAATGCAATTTGTCTAACAAAATATTTCTTCTTATTAATTACAGAAATTGCTTTGATGTCATCTCAACTGAGTAGCAGTGCTTTGAGTTTTCCTTTCTTCTCTCCCTCCTCTTCTATCCCAACCCTATCCTTTGCTTAACTTTTCTTCCCTTTCCTTAGTGCTAATTGGTGTATTCTTAAGGAGCAGGGGACTAGGTTTAGGGGAATGATGGGTAGAGAAATATAAAACTTCTGTGAGACCTCTCTTCTTGAATCTTAAGTTTCCATTCATTCTAGACATTTGATTCTTCTCACAAATCATTTTGTTCTATTTCTGGCAGCTCATACGCTTGGGGAAGAAAATGCATATTTAAGATCAACCAACTGGCTATTCCCTTTGCCTGAAATGCTGTTCCCCCCAGACAGCCATGTGGCACACTTCCTCCAAACCATAGCTCAAATGTTACCTTCTCAGTGAAACCCTACCCTTATCATCCTATTTAATTCTGCAACCTATACATCCACTCTAATCTGCCTTACCTTTTCAACTTATTTTTCCATAGAACTTATCACCTTCTAACACAGTAATAACTTAATAATTTTTTACATTCTGTTTATTTATTTGCCTTTCCTTGTAGAATACATGCTCCATGAAGGAAAGTTTCTTTGCTTTGCTTGAACTTGTATCCCAAGTTCTTATAGCAGTGCCTGGCACATAGTGGGCATTTAGTTAATATCGGTTGAATGAAATGATACTAAAGAAATAGAACATTACCATTCATTTGGATTCCTCTATATGTCTCTCTGTGATCATACTCCTACCTAACCTCCTTTTAAGTAAATACACTGGATATCTTGTTAATAATTTCTCTGCTTTTCTTTATAGTTGATGCAAACTTTATATATCCCTACAAAATATAAATTTAGTATATCCAGATTTTTAACTTTATATAAATAATGCTTGTACATATCTTTCTAAAACTTTCTTTTTTTCCCTCAACACTATAGCATTCATCCATATTGATGCATGTAGTTTTAATGCAGTAATTTTTCTGCTGGATGGGATTCCAGTGTATAACTACATCATAATTCATATCTCTCTTTTTTTTTTTTGAGAGAGATGGAAATTTCACTGTATTGCTCAGGTTAGAGTGCAGTGCTCAGCTATTTTTAAAAAACTTTGTTAGAGATGTATATTTGTCTGTTTTCCCACTGCTATAAAGAAATATCTGAAGCCTCCTGACTGCTTACTACAGGCTGTGTTCTTAAATTGACTGTATAGAAACAGGAGGTAGAGTAAACCTACTCCATATGCGTCTCAGCTCAGGCCCTGTGTCTGGTCTGTATTGTGAACGGGGGAACATAGAATCGAGAAAAAAGTTAAAAAAAAAAATCTGAAACTAAGAGAGCAAAGGGGGAAGTGCTACATACTTTTAACCAACCAAATCTCACAAGCACTTCCTACCGTGAGAATAGCAAGGAGGGAATCCACTCCCATGATCCAATCACTTCTCACCAGGCCCCTCCTCCAACATTAGGGATTATAATTCCACATGAGATTTGGGTAGCGACATAAATCCAAATCACATCAGACGGGGTCTCACCATGTTACACAGGCTGGTCTCAAACTCTTGGCCTCATGCAGTGCTCCTGCTTCAGCCTCCTGAGTAGTTGGGACTTCAGGTACATCCCACTCAATTTATCTCTCTTTTATAGCACACATATATTTAGGTTCTTTTAGTTTTTGTTATAAGCTATACAGTCAGGAGCATACTTATATACATCTTCTTCTACATATGTATAAGATTTTCTTCAGGATTTATACCTAGGGGTGGAATTTCTGGGTTGTTAAGATGAGCATATTCAACTTTATTGTGTAATGCCAAGTTGTTTTTCATAGAGTTATATAAATTTACATTTCTACTAGCAGTATAAAAGAGTTCTGCAGCTCTATGTCCTCACTAACACTTGGTTTTGTCAGACATCTTATAATAAAGATGTGAAGTGGTAACTCAATGTGGTTTTAATTTGTATTTCTCTACTCACCAAGAGACTGAGAATCTTTTCATATGTTTACATGCTGTTTCTTATTCCTCTTCTGTAAAATGTGTGTTCATTTTTGAAAAATTGGGTTGCTTTGCTTTTTCTTACTGAGCAATAGAAGCTCATTCTCAAAAACCATAATTTTATCAAAGCATTAAATTTAGGGTCAATTGCACTATATGACTTCATGGTCCCTGAGGACTTAACTGCCCTAAAACTTAACATAATCCTTAATGTAGAATGAAGATCCTGACTTACCAGGAAAAATTTACATAATATAGAAAGTCCCTGACTTATGACAGTTCAACTAATAATATTTTAACTTTATTATGGTGACACAGTGATACATATTCAGTAAAAATGGTACTGGAATACTCATACAACCATTGTTTTTCACTATCAGTACAGTGTTCAACAAGTTACAATAGATATTCAACACTGTATTATGAAATAGGCTTTGAGTTAGATGATTTTGCCCAATGCAGGCTAATGAAAGTGTTCTGAGAATGCTTAAGGTCAACTTGGCTAAGTTACGATATTTGGTAGGTTAGGAGTATTGAATGCATTTTTAACTTAGATGTTTTCAACTTACAATGAATTTATTAGGATGCAACTTCATTTTCAGTTGAGGAGCATTTATAAAAATAAATATTCAGCAGAATCTGTTAAAAGTGTGGTCCTGGTTTAAGTTAGCCAAATAAATAATATATTTGAGAAAGATTTTAATTAAAAATCAGTAAAACAAAAATAAGGGAATGTGTATAAATTTCCCTATGGAACTTATGATTTTCTTAAAATGTCTAATAAAGGAGGTTGGAATTCTATAGAAAAATTGCTCTGATAAGCATAATTAGTAGAATATATGCTAGCTATACTAATTTTTAACCCTAGTCTTTTTCTGTTAGAAATACTTTTTTTCCTTCACAGCTCTGAATAGAAATGACGAAAAACTGGCATTAATAAATGTTTTGTAAAGTAAATATCAACATGTTCCCAAGGGTTATTTTTAATGCACATTCCTGTCAAATTGCATTTACTACATTTGCAAATGCAAATCTAAGAATTCCTCAATTTTAGAGTGAATGGTGCCTATTCATTGCTAATATATCAGCAATACATATTATATTATATATGCTAATATTATATATTAGCAATGTATTATAGTACCAAGAAACGAGAAATAAATTTTATGACACTCTATTATTGGACATACGGTTCTCACCTGGGAAGCATTTAAGCTATTCATGAATGTTTTCCATTTTGTTTGGTTGAAAATGGATTTTCCAGTGGTATATCTATCTTAGAAAACAAGATGGGTCTTATTCATCACATACCGTAAATCAGAAAAGCACCTATTTTATAACAGGTTAAAGAAACTTATCCCAGAAAATTCAATGACTCAACATTTGTTGAGAAGTGCCTATCCTATTCTTCTAACTCCAGCCATTTTATTCACATAAAAATGAGGTCAAGCAGTAATTCTAATGACAAAGGAAACAACTTTGAAAGTGACTTTTCAATTTGTGACTTTTGAGTATGTTAGAATTATTACTTGAAGAAAATTATTTTAAGTAGTTAAGACTGGAAAGATGTATTCCCAGTTTGAAAGATTCCACGAAAAAACCAGCATAAAAAATGAAAATAGATTTGCATAAAAACATATAACTGTGAACTTTCAAAACACTAAAGTTTACAGATATTAAAACTAAACAACAGTTCACCTAGAATGTACTGAAAATCAGAATAACATCTGACTTTTTAATAGCAATATTGGAAGCTGAAAGATAATGGGATAATGCTTTAAAATCCGTAGAGACAGAGATCCAAGATGGCCGAATAGAACAGCTCTGGAGGGCAGTTCCCAGTGAGAACAATGAAGAGGGTGAGTGATCACCACATGTCCAAATGAGTTATTACTGCCCACAGACCAGGAGATTCTCGGGCTGAAAAGCACCACAAGTTTCCAGCACAGCTGTTTCAGCCAGCACAGTGGGTCTCTGCACAAAAACTCACACAAATCTGGGTGGTCATTTCAACTGGCACCTGGAATGCCTGGGAGACAGAGCCACCCATTCAACTAAAAAAAAGGGGGGGATAAAACAGGGAGCCAGGTGATCTGGCTCAGTGGGTCCCACCGCCCACAAAGACCAGTAATCTGAAATGCTTTGTATTTGTAGTTTCACAGCAAGCACAGCTGGACCCAGAATGGTCCAGCTCTGTGGGGGAAGGGCATCTGCCATCACCAAGGCAGTCCACCACTACAAAGGCAATCCACCATTACCGAGTGAGTCTGCCATTACCGAGGCAGTCTGCCATTACAGAGGTAGTCTGCCATTACTGAGGCAGATTGCCAATACCAAGGCAGTTCTAACTATATCTCTGTAAACAAAATGGCAAGGAAGTTTACACAGCAGTTGGACAGGGCCATGGCAGCTCAGCAACACCTCTGCTGGCAGACTGTGACTAGGCTACCTCCTTGCTGGGCAGGGCATCTCTGAAAAAAGGCAGCAGCATGCCAGGAACTTATAAATAAAGCCCCACCTTCCCAGGACAGAGCACCTGGGAAAAAAGGCAGTTATGTGTGCCACTGCAGCTGACTTAAATGTACCTGACCAGCAGGCCTGAATGGAACAATGGAGCTCACAGCTTAGCACTTGAGCTCCTATAAGGGACAGACTCTTACCTCAAATAGCTCCCCAACTCCCCTATGTCCAAAGAGACACCTCATAAAGGAGAGCTCAGTCTGACTTCTGGCTGGTATCCTTCTGCGACAAAGATAACAGAAGAAGAAACAGGCAGCAACCATTACTGTTCTGCAGCTGTCACAGGTGATCCACAGGCAAGCAGGGTCTGGTGTGGACCTCTAACAGTCCTATAGCAGAGGGGCCTGACTGTTAGAAGGAAAACTAAAAAACAGAAGGAAATAACTTCAACATCATCAAAAAGGAGGTTCATTCAGAGATTCCATCTGAAAGTCACCAACTACAAAGACCACAGATAGATAAATCTACAAAGATGAGAAGAAACCAGCACGAAAAGGATGAAAACACTCAAAACCAGGATCCCTCTCCTCCTCCAGGGGATCACAACTCATCACCAGTAAAGGAAAAAAGCTGGATGGAGAATGATTCTGATGAATGGACTGAAACAGGCTTCAGAAGGTAGGTAATAACCAACTTCTCTGAGCTAAAAGAGCATGTTCTAACCAAATGCAAAGAAACTAAGAACCTTGAAAAAAGGTTTCATGAAATGCCAATGAGAATAAACAGCATAGAGAAGAATATAAATGACTTGATCGTTCTGAAAAACACAACACGAGAACTTCACGAAGCATACACAAGTTTCAATAGCTGAATTGACCAAGCAGAAGAAAGGATATCAGAGATTGAAGATCAACTCAATGAAATAAAACAAGAAGGAAAGATTAGAGAAAAAAGAGTGAAAAGAAATAAACAAAGCCTCCAAGAAATATGGGATTATGTGAAAAGAATGTTTTCCAGCCTGGATTCATTCTCTCCGTCACATTCAGGCACACCTATCAAACGTAGATAGGTATACCTGAATGTGACGGAGAGAATGAATCCAGGCTGGAAAACACTCTTCAGGATATTATCCAGGAGCACTTCCCCAACCTAGCAAGCAGTCCAATATACAAGTCCAGGAAATACAGAGAACACCACAATGATATCCATCAAGAAGAGCAACACCAAGGCACATAGTCATCAGATTCACCAGGGTTGAAATGAAGGAAAAAATGTTAAGGGCAGCCAGAGAGAAAAGTCAGGTTACCCACAGAGGGAAGCCCATCAGACTCACAGAGGATATCTCCGCAGAAACCCTAATAGCCAGAAGACAGTAGGGGCCAATATTCAACATCCTTAAAGAAAAAAACTTTCAACCTAGAATTTCATATCCAGCCAAACTAAGCTTCATAAATGAAGGAGAAATAAAATCCTTTACAAACAAGCAATTGCTGAGAGATTTCGTCACCACCAGGCTTGCCTTACAAGAGCTCCTGAAAGAAGCACTAAACATAGAAAGGAACAACCAGTAACAGCCACTCCAAAAATGTAGCAAATGGTAAAGAGCATATAGACACAATGAAGAAACTGCATCAACTAATGGGAAAAACAAACAGCTAGCATCAAAATGGCAGGATGAAATTCACACATAACAATATTAACCCTAAATGTAAATGGCGTAAATGCCCCAATCAAAAGATGCAGACTGGCAAATTGGATAAAAAGTAAAAACCCATTGGTGTGCTGTATCCAGGAAATCCATTTCATGTGCAAGGACACACATAGGCTCAAAATAAAGGGA